TTGTTTTAGTGTATTTGGTTCATTTCTTAGTTAGTTCTGTACTTGCCTAGTGTATCAGGTAGGTAGTATCATGTTATAAGTGTTTACGGCGCATCCTATAGATGCATTAAATAAATAAATAAATGAATAAATAAATAAATAAATAAACTGTATAATAATTGCATACATAGGCTCATATTCGGAAATGTTTTTGAAAATTGTTCTCAGCGAGCGGAGGGACCGCGTTATGCGGCATTCCACGAAGTGGTTAGGACAACCTATACGCTAAGAAATAAGGCAAGCAAGGCACTTTATTATTGTGAAAGTTCAGGAAAAATAAGGCGCTCATGCAAACGAAGGAAGTCACACAGCGACACAAGACTACGATAACTCTGGCCGTCCACGCTTCTTGACTTTGAGCCTGGGAGAGGGAGGATGCCACTACATAGGTGAGAGAAAAAGCGCAGACGACCACAGTCGTCGTAGCCCTACTCTCTAAGCGTATCTCCCTCCAACTCTGTTCGTGCAGAGAGGATTAGTTACTACTAGTTTAGAAAGGAATTGCGTGCTGCAACAGGAATTCATGAGCCCATTCTGAAGCCGCCTTCCACTTAAGTTTGTGCAAGAAAACCGTCATCCCTCAGCACACAGCGTTTTGGTAACTGCTGGATACGTCAAAAGCCATGCGATTCCAAAAAAAACTGAGGGGGGGGGGCAGGCGGGGGCAGAAGCAAATAAATGAAACAACAATGTAACGTAACAGCCTTTGGCCCAGCCTGCTATACTGCACTGAACATTCATGCATCGAGTAAATATTCAACCGAAACGTACTTCTTCTGATGGATGCCAAGCGATAAATTTAACATCCTGAGTATGAGGTTGCAACACCGAAGACACTTGGAAATCTTCATCCTCATCCACTATAAACAACGCCCTCGATAATTGAGAATATTTTCAAAAATACCACTAATGAGTTACTTACTTTGCCAGAACCATACACTTTTGTCGCGACTACAGGTAGCTAGAAATTCGTCTGTTGGTGAGAACGCACAGCATTTGACCTATAAAAGGGTGTTATATCAGGGAGAAACGATACCACAACTACGGAAATCGAAGGAAATCAGTGCGAAAGAGGCAACAGGTTCTATTTCGGAAAGGAGAGAAGGCCGCGCTTCTACCTTGCGTCACTGGAGAATCGGATAATGCGCAAAAAAAGATTGGATCTGAAAAAAAAAGATTGTATCTGAGTTCCGATTTTCAGTGGCGCAGGGTACAACTTAGCGTAAGAGCGTGTTCATACTTGGCGATTCGAGTCACATGAATCGCGCGATCGGATCGCGAACCATGAACGCGCTCTAAAAGTCATTACTACACAAAAATTACCTCGCTTTCGTGGCCTTCCAGCTTGTTCGATTCCATGAACTCCTCGCCTCTAAATCAAGAAAACCCACAATACTATGGATTTGTTAGCGAAGCCATGCTCAAAAAAATCATCTTTTTTTGGTAAGGCATAATAAGCCTGGTTCATACGCGCTATCGTGACTGAATAAAAAGGGCAAAAGAGAAATTCAGAATTCACGAACTCCTCTCGGCTATAGATGACCACACAAGAATCGAAGCCTGCAGATGCCAGGTACCGACCACAATGAGAGAACTCCACACAACGGACGGCCCTTGAATGGCTGTCGTCAATGGAAGTGGCGCATTCCAAATAAGGCAAATCTACAAATAACAGAGGTATGAGATGACAACAGAATTCCCTCAAGTGGCTGACTCAGATTTAAAATTTGTTTAGTAAAAGAGCATTTGAAAATATTCGCCGCAGTTCAGTCCACCGCGGATGATGGGGCGTGTCCACGGCTGCGTTTGGCGCTAACCCGTCTTTTTTTCCTTCACCAGGCGACAGGAGATTATCTTATCTTTCGTATCAGCCGTTTTCCGCAGTTGTCTTATATCCGCTTGAACAACTGGAAGGGAATGAATTTGGCTCCGTGCCCAGTGCAGCCGCGCGGACACGCCCCATCATCCGCAGCGAACCAGACTGTAAAAATCCGTTCCTCTGCGCTCTGAGCTGGGCACATAATTGTTGGGGAATCCCCAACAGGGGGGGGGTCGTATTTGGCCGCCAGGAGAGGGGGGTCGTATTTGGGCTGAGGAAAATTTATTTTGATAGTTGATTTTTCTCGCTTCACGGACGTTGTAAAAGGGGGGGGGGGGTCGTACTTGCTCATTGTTGGGAGGGGGTCGTATTTACTTTCTGGCCTTTCTAGGAGTGGTGGTTGACTTTTCGTGGTAGGGAAGGATGAGGAGGTTCCAACCCCTCCACCTCTTAAAATAAGGAGGGAGGGGTGGTCGTACAGACTCGACTAAAATCCCCAATAATTATGTGCCCTGGCCCGAGGGGAGGCTGTACATAGACTCTCGCTCTATCTCTGATCGCCTGCACTTTCCTAAGGCTGCATAAAATATTGCGACATAACGTTTTGGAAGAATCAGCGCTTTTAGCGCCGATCAATACCTATGTTCCTTTTCGCTCAAAGTGCTGACTCTTTCAAACGTCGAATCGCAAAACATGAACGCACTCTGAGGCCGAGCGCTGGGAGGGGGAGATATCACTTGGCCGCGCATCCCGCATGCCCCTCCTCCTGCCGCAACCACAGCAACGTCCAAAGTTCAGTAGTCATCAAGATAAACAAACCTACTCTTAGTTTTCTTCCATATTCGTACAGTTTTGTCATCACCACAGCTAGCAAGCAGGGAGCCGTTGTGATTCCATTTAACCGTCCATACTCTGCTGCCGACCGTACCTTCCACGGCGGAGTTCACATTAATGACGGAAATTTCTTCAATTTTTGACATTCCTGGAATGGACTATGAATGGAAAAATTTGCTGACGAATCTTTGTACAACTTGAAGCTCTTTCGAACGGCTTTCAACAAGTAAAAGTTCATATTTGAGCGATGCAGAGATATAAAACAGACCCATGAAAATGGTAAATTCATAGAAAGATGACAGGAAAACATAGAATACTCGCCCACAAAATGTCCAGAAAAGGGATCCAACGAGGAGAAAACAGTGATGAAACAGTTAAAAGTCTCATCAGTTCTATTCAGCCTTTGGTACTGCTTATTGTAGGAAAAAAATGAGCAAAAAACACAGAACGTCTCGGATTCCTATTTCTGCTTGGTCTGCAATTGCGACACGTACGAGACCGACGTCATCTGTCAACATTCCAAGCAGATACCGAATGAGTACCGGGTGAAGTGAAGGTGTCATTGTGATCCTCACCCTAATTCCCTACTAGGGAAACGACCCACCTCCAAACATGCCCACCATAATACCAGTTTTGCCCGAAATTTTGCTACAGAGCGCTATTGATCAGAAAGAGCACTGCAGTGCCGCCAGCTAAATATACAGCGTTCATGAAGGGGTAAACAACAATCTGAAATGTCTCTGGAGGCCGAATACAACCAAAACCTCACCAAGATGTCTCCGATGGGTCGCTCAAA